CTCATGTAAACAAATAGAAAACGCCAAACCCAAGTCCTAAATCTCTGCAAACCTCTGAGCTGTCGGACACAGACGCCAGAGAGCGATCCCAGAGATGCAGTCTGAGCCAGTGTTAGTCAGTGTTTGTTTGTGAATAAGTAAAGCAGGCCCCGAGGAGGCTGTTTGGTTTTTAATAAAACACCAGAGCAGATGGTAGTATGATCTGGGACACAGAGAGAGACAGAGAGAGACAGAAATAACAAAGTGAAGAATGCTTCCTCCTCTACATTCTCTTTTCTCTTTCTCCACTTTAAACAAGTTTTGGGTAGAAATGTGTTCATTATGCAATACAATATTTTAATTCAATGTAATCTTGCGACATGTATCAACGCTATTAAACCAATACAGCCACTCACAAAAATGATTTATTCGTCTTTCTTGGTATGAGTTCAACCATGAAGGACCTGGTCTTGTTAATGGTTGGGAGTGAGTCCAGGGTTGAAGTCTTCACAGATTTAAAATGTTGGGCCCGCTCAAAAATGGAGAACCTCGTGGTTGTATGCCTCCACCAACCAGACAAGTTTTGGTTTACATCCATGTCTGTCCAAAATGTCATCCCTTCATCATATTCTCCTACTAAAGCAAGATTAGATGTGTAAAATCTAATGATGTGAAATGTAAAATAGTCATCATTTTCATATTCATTCTTGAGTTATGGCCAAAAATATGTTGATTGAAATCATATTGACCTTTGACAACAAAATTCTAAAACGTTCATCCTTGAGTTCAGGTGGACATTTGTGCTGAATTAAAAAAAAACAAATCCCTCCAGGTATTTCTGTGAATGGACTGGAAGGAGGACGTACCAGTGTCTTCACATCCTTCACCAGTGCAGAGGCATCAAAAGAAAGCTATTCTGAAAAGGACCTGACATCTTGACACAACCCAGGTGCCAGAAAAAAATGATAAACAAATATAAAAATGATTTATAAAATATGCCTAAAGACGTGACGTAACGATGTGACGTAACAACATAACATGATAACGTAAGGTTACAACATATTGAGCATGAATAAAGAACTCTTCTTAGCAGACATTCTTACATGATGGTAAGTAACAAGCTTCACAATGTTTTTTAACGTAGTGTAACATTGTGTCCACCACCCTTAGAGGTAAACTGGGATCATGGGATACATGGGGTTAACAGCAGCTCCGCAGTAGAAGGCTATGGCGTAGGTTATGATTTTTAGTTTAGCGAGACGAGACAGACGTCTTGTATGTGACTAGGCTGTGTCCTGCTTACTCATTTTGCCCAACCGTTTTACTTTTGTTGAAAAATCAAGCATATCTTTTAAAATACATTTTTCACTGCTTTGCATTGAACGACTCCCCAAGGAACTGATTCTTCAACAGTTTAAGAGTGGATTCCTTCAGCAAAAGAACGAGGATCGAGAGTGAAGATACAAAAACAGATTTAGCTGTTTTGAACAGACCAAAGACCAAGACATCTGTTTGAAGCATTGACAGTGTGTAAGAAGTGGACGTACTCCCCTTGAAGCCACACGTTGGTTTGTGGATACCGGATTTAAAAGCCACGAGTTGACCTGTCAATCACAAGGTAGCCCCGCCCTAAAGCATACCCTGCTTTATGGTCTGTTTTAAAGCCACATCTGAACCCCCTTGGTCCATAAAGGTCTGCTGAAAGGTGTTTGCAAAGCTCACTGCTCGCACAGTAAAAGGATCTTGTATATTAATGTTTCCATACTCCCCTGACCTCTCAATTAAAGCTTTTTCTTCATATGTGAGTTGTTGCCTTTGATCGCAGCTAATAGATCAGAATCTGTTAAATCACCTGACCTGATTAGAGACACAGCCAATTATAGCAGTTAGTCAAAGAATCAAGGTCGGTAAGGATGAGACTATTTTCTCCATCTCGGTGAGAAAATACCTAAATATGTAACACCAGCATATGCAATCCCCATCAAGAAATAAGAACATGACTACTGCAGGACATGACTACTCTGTAGTCATGTCCTGCAACCCTGAACGACCCCAAATATCTTCTCATGGCCTCACTTCTCCATGCAATTGTTTCAATGTCCTCGAATGCCCCCTTCTCTTTCCACAACTTCAATTCACCTCTGTTCAGGCAGTTCTAAATATTGGGGCTAAAACATATTTTATCACCTATTTAGAAAGATCGCATCCATTGTGGGGAACTATAGGAGCGCGATGCAGGTTCACAGTAATTACATCCAGGCTGCTTCAGTATAACTGCTAATGTTGATGCATATCATTTAACCAGTTGCCTCATTCAAATTCATATAAGAAAGCTTTGCTGTACTTCAAATATACTTGTCACTCGAGGATTTATTTTCGACTGGGTTGAGATTATAAACTAAAGTAAGGAATAGTTCAACACTTTGGATATCAATCTCATGGCTGTGTGTTCACTACGGAGCTAGAGTCAGGATGTTAGCCTATCAATCTCATGGCTGTGTGTTCACTACGGAGCTAGAGTCAGGAGTTAGCCTATCAATCTCATGGCTGTGTGTTCACTACGGAGCTAGAGTCAGGAGTTAGCCTAACTTAGCATGAAGACTGGAAGCAGGGGCAGATGGCTAGCTGGGCTCTGGTCAAAGTTCAGAAACATTTTGGCTCAGTTTGGGTTTTCTAAAGGTTAATACATGAATTGGTGATTAGTATATTTTATGCAATTTCTTTAACAATGACCGATTACCATTTTCACATCATTTCTCATAATTTGTGTAGGACCATCACTGCCTTAAACTGCTGAATGTAGGTTTTAGTTTGGCTGCGGTCCACCTTCGTGACTGTTCCATTGAGATGAACATCTCCTCTCCTATGTAGACATTTTCTTCTGAGAAAGAATCCAAATGGCAAAACATTCTCACCCCAACTAAGATCCGAAGCTTGTTCAGTGGCCCAACACTTCAACCTATGACGCTCTAGACTTCCCATCAGTCAGGGATGGCCAGTCAGTTTCCACTCGTTACATGCATTGTGTCTTTTCAAAATAAACTTCCGATGTTGGTTTAGGGTTAAAATATTACTTTTGAGTAAAATAAATATGCTTGTTGCTTAACTTAGTCAAGTATGTCAGTCACATAACAAAAGTAAAGTAAAATAAGTTGACTTTCACACGGGACACAAATAGTGGGCTCCTGTGTGAAAGTCCATGTTTGGTAGACCCAACCATCCACCCCTCCTCATTATTCTGTCAGTTGCTTTGACCATCGAAGAGTGACACGGATGGGTTTACATTGGAGTTAAAAGCCCGATGCTTCTCATACAGACCCTAAAAGGTGCCTTGGTGTGTCGGTATCCGACGCGGGCGGTCACGGACCAAGCGTCGGCATTGGGGATTCGACCCCTGAGAGACTGGTGTTAAGATGAATATTGACCACTACAGGGTTCCGGTCAGAGAACACGCAGACATCTGTTTGTTCCACACGTTACTGCATTGAGTCTGGCATACAGTTTTAAGTTTGGTGACAGATGGTGACAGATTTTGAACGATGTTACAGATGTTGAAAGAGTTTCTGAAATAAACACAGACAACGAATTACAGAACCGAAGTATTAGCAATAGTAAACCCTTAACTAAAGCATTAATACACATACATTCACAGGAATACAGGCTCGCTAGCCAGGTTTGCCACTTAGCTCAACTTTGGCTCAACCGCTAATTGCATAACAAACACTTACTGACAGTAAATGCACTTGAGAACATAAGTACAGCGACAAAACGGAACAGTTTTGCCGCATAGGTCCAAAGTTACAGTACTATGACTCACATCATCAATGACTCGATCCGACTGTACCTTCGGTCCTACGTAACATATATACGATTAGCGCAACCGCAAGCGGAAACTGTTTGCGATGTCAAAATAAAGTTTTAGAATAAAACCTCCTTAACCTTATCGTCTCTGCCCGTGAAGAATTCACAACAGTCGGTATTTGACGAGTTGGGAGTGGAGTGTGTTGGATTGTCGGCAGAGCAATGACCTCACAGCGATTGATTAAATCTGAAAAAAGATGATTAAAACCCTTTAGAGGCTGGGCCGGGCCAAATGACTCGTTCCAGAGAGGAGACTTTCAGTTGTCACAGCAACAACCCAAAGGGGATGCAGGAGTTTGATGGCTTGTGTTTTCAGCATTCCATAATCTGCAGTGTCTGACGAAGAAGAGCCACACAGAGTTCAACAACGCAGTTGAGAAGAGGAGAACACATTTTACAAACAGCGCTTTCAAATGTTAATATTTTTCATGAAGGTGTCCAAGTGTAGCTAAACCAGTTGAGCTTCATGGGCGATGCACTTCCACTTCAGCTCCAGAAGACAGATGCCTTCGTGTCCATCAAGTTTCAAAAGGCACGGAGATGGAGAGCAAAAGAGAGACGGACGCTGGCAGGCAGACATGATAGACATCTCTCAGTTTTCTCTGGACATTAAGAGACTATTGGATCTAAAAATCAGATTACAGCATGATAAAGATGACAATATTCCTTCTGAGGAGAAAACAGAGATGCAATTTCCTCCTAAAACAGAGGAGCGGAGTGTATGAGGAGGAGGACTTATGGAGACATAATAGAATCATCGCTGTTTTGCTCGGCTCCGTCTTCTTCAAAAAAGCATCCATTTTGGGCGTCTGAGACTCTGTATCAGTGCACTTCATCTCTGTGTGTACCGCGAGTCAAATGCCAGAGTTTGTTTGTGTGTGTGTGTGTATGTGTGTGCGTGTGTGAAAGTGTACACTCACCCTACAGGCAGTAATGTGGGCTGGCTGTAAGGCGGCACTAAATGAACAGATGGAAGTAATCAACAGATGGTTGATATGGTGTTTCTGTGTGTGTGTGTGTGTGTGTGTGTGTGTGTGTGTGTGTGTGTGTGTGTGTG